CGAGCTGTTCATATGAAGCGTATATACTAGCTTTACTATGGTTACACTTTTTTCGCGATTAACAAAAGAGTTGAAAAGTACTTGTTTGAACAAAAACGTCCTATACAAACATTGTTTGGTTTCAAAGCGTGACTAAATTTCCAACAATTGCAGAGCTCGACACAATTGCTCCTATTATTTATTCCCAAACTCCAACAAATGGTAACGTCAACAATGTTGTAAAATCGACCCATGCAAATTACATTTTCCTACGTATACGATAAGAATAGACGCAACTGTTGAAGTCAAGCGGAAGTCGTTTCTTGCGACTTGACTCTTCTGTTAGAGGCTTGCAGAAACAAACATTCGATCTTTTAAGGCAAAATAACGAAGTTAAATAAAACAAACGATAAGGAACACACACAAAACTATCTGTCCATCGCGGTGAGACTAAAATAGTTTAGATATAACGTTCTTAACCTCTGTAAATGGAAGGCACTAAAAAACTGTAATCCTAATGGATATACGTAATATTTAGACATTTCAAGCTGTGATGCTTACAAAAATGTTTATTTTACAATTTCAAAAAAGGTTCTGACTAATATATATATATATATATATATAGTCAATCATTTCATCAATATTCGACTTAAACGAAAATGGATCAACGTGCTTGTATTATATATTTTATAATATTCGGGTAAAGCTGCACAAGAGCTATCCGAACACAGATCTTTCCAATTTTGAACCGATAGGCTGGCTAGAGAGAAGACTAGTTATCGGCATTCATTACCCATTTTTGAGATTGTCTTGTCTGACCGTCACTCTTATAACGCGCCCTCGGCCCCAAAGTGCAGGAGCACATTCTTTTTTTTCAGCAACGAGAAGTAAATCATGAACCCTCAAATTTTCAGTTCGAGTTCCTTAGCCCGTAGATAAAACCCGGCCACGATCAACAAGCTGGACCGTGTATTTATATATATAAAACAAAACACAACTCTGTTTTGAGAAAAATCATACCAAATGTCAGGTTGATACGGTCTAGAAAACACTCAAAATGTGTTACTTAAATGTTATATATTTTATACAGTTTCATATATAACATTTAAATGTGCACTTAGGATGTGAAAATATACCCGTCCCCAGTGACGGAAAAAGTTTAAGTTAATCTATCAATTTATATTATTTCATGGACATTTAAAAAGGTTAATTGTGTTGCACTCTTGGTTTCACTCAAAATCAAAGCTCTGAGCTACCTGTACCGGCCACCGCGAAAAGTAATTGTTGAACA